CTGTGATAGAAAATGAGGACATGTGGGTTTGCCAGGGTATTTTAATGCTTCTAGAGAGAAGGTGGGGGACGGTGTGTACATGGAGCAGAAGAATGTTCTTGCAAAGGTTGAGCCTACAAAAAAAAAGAGAACACCCTAAACAAGCCATTGGGAGCTGTCTGAGCCCTTGGACCTGGATAAGGCTTGAAGTTCAAACACAAGCTAGAGGAAGGGAGTGGAAGCTCCATTCCTGCCATCCATTCCAACCAGACTTGTGTGGGACGATGCAAGAGCCACAAGGCACACGGGTGTGTTTGGGATGGGGTGGGTGTGATGAGAGCATGCAGGTGCTTACACTTCACTGCTGTAAAATACAGATATGTTGATCAGAGCAGCTGGAGAAAGGTTGGGAAATCAGGCACATGTCCCATGTGATTGGGGAAACTTCTCTGGGATGTCCCTGGTGCAATGCCCTAGGGGAAGGGAGCTTCCCTGTGTCTCCATGGGTCCAAAGCAATGCACAGGTCTTGCAAGGCAGCAGGGAGAGCTGCCAAGTCAGAACAAGTAAGCCAGCAGGTATTGAGCTAATGAATCTGCCTTCATGTTCCCCAGGGACCAGTGTGCACCAACTTGGGTCTCAAGCCTGGCCAACGCCTCACTGTCAAGGGGAAAATTGCTCCAAATGCCAAGAGGTAAGCTGTGCTGTGCTGACACCACCCTGAGCTGTCTTCTGCTGGTGGGGGACAAAAGGAGTCTGTCCCTTGTGTAGGAGAGAAGGGGTTAACACCAACAGTGCTTACCAGTGAGTCACCACCTAATGCACATTGCAGACACAGTACTGCCAAAGGGCTAAGCCAAAGCAGATGTGGAGCTCCAGCTGCACGGACTGGCAGTGACCACATCCTCTCTAATGCAGAGTAAAGGAAATGGAAGCTGCATCTATACTGAGATTGGGGTTAAGACCATCTGCTCAGCCACATTCTTTCCCCTATACAAAGAAGGTCCAGGAGCAGGGACACAATTATGGTGCCCCAGTGGAGCTGCCTCTCATGTGCTGGTGGGAAGGAAGGAGGAAAGGTGGTGAGCAGGCAGGTGAGCTTAAGTGGAAACGTACCTCTAAATGTGCAGGAATCAGGGTGGCCCAGTAAAACCTCTGCAGCAGCCCCCAGCCCTAGTGCAGGTCTGTGGCTGGTGGGGCCCCTTGGCAGGCGAGGTGGACCCTGTAGCTGCTGTGCCAGCAATAACGGTGTTCCAGGAAACATGTCCTAGCTCTTCCCAGTGCCTTTGAAGTTTGATGCTGTTGGAGTGAAGTCTCCCAGGCTTTCTCTTGTGAAATAATATGCCTTCTCTCTCCTCATCTGAGTAAGAGGCCTGGAGGCAAGGTGGACACTGGGCTAGGAAGCTTCCTCCCACTGCTGTTGCAGATACTTTGGGATAGCGAATGACATGGTAATTATTTCAGCTGCCTGCAGGACGGGGAGAAGGCAGTGCCTGTCAGGCAGGATGCAGCACCAGCTGTTTGGGGCTGAAAGGAAAGCAACTGACTCCTTGGGAACTGGTTTGGGTGCAAGATAACTTTCTGTTTGGGGCTCTGCATCCTGAACCTTTCTCTTGTTAAAAGCCTTGAGGAAACCAAGCAGTGTCTCTCCCACAGGTCTATCCTCCCAGGAAAGGAGAGTACCCTTTAGTAACACAGCACCATCTTCTTAGGGTAGCTGTGCAATTTAGCAAAGGGTTTCTCTAAGGTTACCCTCCACTGGGCTTGAAGCAACAGACCCAGAGGTGTTCATGGTAATGAGAAACATGGTACCATAGTATTGATTTATTTTTCTAGCAATGTTGATGTGGGTTTTTTCTCTGCAGCTTTGTGATGAATCTGGGGAAGGACGCTACCCTGCTCGGGCTTCACTTCAACCCCCGTTTTGATGCTCATGGTGATGTGAACACCATTGTGTGCAACTCAAAGAAGGTGGAAGAGTGGGGTGCAGAGCACAGGGAGACTGTCTTCCCTTTCCAGAAAGGGGGCACAGCAGAGGTGAGGCATATATACACAGACTCGCTCACTCTCTCCACGCTCTGGTGAAGGGAGCAGGGTGTCTGGCTGTCTCAGGGCAGTCTGGACAGGAGGTAGCTGGCATCTCCTGCTTGGCCATAGCCACCACTCAGGGCTCTGAGCAGTGATGAAGGCAAGGGATCAAATGTGCAAGTTCCATCTGGCTCAAAGGGATGTTACTATTGAATGAAGCAGGGAATAGGCATCTCTTGGCGGACCAGAATAACACTCCTGCTGCTAAAGAACAGGTTATGCTGCTGAGTGTGTTCCCCCTGAGAAGTAGAGGGTGGCACAGCAATGCTGCAGAGGGGAGGGGCTTGAGAGTGTCTTGGCAGGAACTCTCTCTGACTTTTTTATTTGTCTTGCAGATCACTTTCGGTGTCAACCAAAATGATGTGACAGTCCATCTGCCAGGCCACCAGTTCACGTTCCCTAACCGGCTTGGTCTCTCTGTCTTTGACTACTTCGATACACATGGAGACTTCACACTCCAGTCCCTCAGCTGGGAATAACTTCCTCTGACACCTCCATCTCGAAGATATGGAAAAAAAACGATCAATAAATAAGTTTTGGTCTCAAAATCTGATCTGTTTCATACTGCACATCCAAGGTTGGGGACCTTGCTGGAGGAGTGGGTGGATGAGGGTAGACAACTTTGCTTGAGTACTATAAGTGGATTCAGCTGTGCCAGCCTTGGCCATTAAAAGTTGTGTATAGAGGATGAGGGTTAAAAGCCTGGAAAGAGAGAAGATAAAAAAATCCAAGGAGAGTCTCAGAAGGAAACATTGGGGCTAGTTTTGACTAGATGGGACAGTGAAAGGGCCTTTTAGGCAAAGTCATCCACTTGTGAGGTCTAGACTGACACCTTACCCTGCCTGAGAAGACCAGGTTGATTAAATCTCTCTTCCTAAACTAAGCATTCCTGGCTGGCATCAGACAGCATTAAGCTGTAGTGCTAGATAAATCTAGCAGGGATGGAGCGAGGGGAAAGTCCTCAGTTGTGACAGCTTTGGCTGCTCCCCTCTGTAGAGGTTGGTCCTACTCTTGACACAGCTTTCCTAGGTCATCTTGGTACCCCTTGTTGCTGCATGGGGACAGCAGTAGAAGAGGTTGCGTTGCTGGGTGTGGCAGAGCATGTAGAGGGCTCCTCATCCAAATTCTTTCTTCCAAAAACTGTAGAAGCACAACTAGTGTTGTGCTATGTCACTTGAGGGCAGTAACCTGGAGGTGTCTGGTTTTATTCTGCCCTGTGTGCTTTCCCTGGTCCATCCAGAGCTGGGAGAGGTAGCAATGCCCAGTTGGGGTGTGGGATGCTAATGAGGATGTATGCACTATGCTTTTGTTACCCCTTCACTCGTACTAGCCCAAATGAGCCTGAGCACTTCTCAGTCTAAACTGAGGCAAGACTCTGAGGAGTCTGAGATGATGAGGCATGTTTGATGTTACTGCACAGCTGCCTTGGGGGCTCTCCTAGTCTAATGCTATCTTGGCAGCAACAACTACTGCTGTTGGTCATGCTGTGCCTGATGGGCATAGAAAAGGTGGGTTCTGCCCTTTCCACAGTGCACAGCAGTCACCAGGTAGTCTGGGATGGAAGGACTCGATCTTAGGGTCCCCACTTCCACGCTTGGCCATGAGCAACAAAGCACTAACAACATAATGTCCTGCAGGACTCCCTGCAGGCCTGACTGGGCTGATTCTTCCCATTAAGCAGTTGCAGAGCAGCTGGAGAATGGGAACTTTCTCCTACATCAGTAGCACCTCCTGTTCTTACTCCATAATTCATGAGGCTCTGCTGAGTCCTGTGTCCTAGGTACACACGCAGAGGGAGGCTGGGCTGCTAGCACTTGTGGGGCTGAGGAGAAGAGAGAGATAAGGGCTCAAGATGAGAACTGAGATGAGAGGCAGGAATACTTGGGGTGTACAAGCAATTTGAGGCTCTGTAGCTGGATCTCTCTTGAAGTCCTGTGTGGGCCAAAGCCAGCCTGCTCTGGATGGTCACATCACACTGTTTAGGGCTGCATCTAAAATAGTAAACATGACATCTAATACTCCCACCCTGTGCATAGGCTGGGGGCAGCATAGCTTGGAGACTCTTCCCATGGGGTGATACGGATGAGGCCATCCTTTCTGGGGATCAGAAGAGAGTTTAGCCATATGGAAGTGAGCTATGCTAGGCTAGATGGCCTCAAGGCAAGAGTCTGCACAGTGGTGGTGACGTAGTCTGGCAGACTAGGGTACATTTGGTAGGCCAGAGAGTTGGCTATTTCCTCAACCACAGCAGGGCCATGGTGCTGGTGAGGGCCCCCTCCATGAGCTGTGGTGATGGACACGGAGTGGAGCTCTCTCCTTGCAGCTTCCTCTGCTGGGCTGATCTTGAAAGATAAGCAAATGTGCTGACCTCCTTGAGCTGTGCTTCAGCGAAATCTCACAATGCCTCTTAACTGTACTTGGCAGTCTTTCTTTAGAAAGACTCTTCAAAGATTTTTTTGTGGAGGGTGAGTGAAGAAAGCTGAGCGGTAGCTTTATCACAGGAGTATGAACCTCAGTCAGGACTCTTGCTAGCGTGGCTGCTTCTCAAAGTGACTCACAGCTCCCGTGAAATCTATGACTCACTGTTGTCCTGACTTTGTTATGGCTTGGCCCGTTGCTAGCGAGGAGGTGAGGGGTGGCAAGTGCTCCTCAGCCATATAATTTAGTCGTATCGAAGCTGACTGCTCCCTTCCACCCACTCCCAGCCTTGTGCAAGGCAGAGGCTATGTGAGGGCTGAAGGACCTGAGGATGGAGTCAGGATTCCCAAGATAAGTGTCCTGCCCCCTCAGCTGAGCAGAGTGTTCAGGGCCATGCAATGGGGAAGGCACTGCAACAACGATGATGGAAGATACTGCACGTTGACACAAAAGGTGATGCCTTTTTATTTCTTAATCTGACTCCCAGCGGGGAGATGTTCCCAACCTGGGGCACCGCTCACCCCTTGCTCTCCTCCGCAGACCCCGACAGCTCCCTGACAGCCAGGGGGATGCTGTGGCTTCCCACAGCCTGCTGAGAGGGTGGTGTAAGCCGTGCCATGCCCATGGCACTGCAGCCAGGGCGTCGGCGGTAGTTGCTGGCAAGCAGGGTGTAGAGGAAAGGGTTGACACAGCTGTTGCCATAGGCCAGGCAGGTGACACCAAAGTTGAGGTAGGCTTGGGCAGTGGGGCCAATGCCCAGCCCCTCACCCTGGTACAGCCCAGCCAGCTGCCAAGCCCAGAAGGGGAGAAAGCAAGCCCAGTAGGTCACCACGATAGCTGGAGAAGAGCCGCCGAGAAGGTGCCCGGCCAGGCACCATCAGCCCCAGGCGGCAGGCTGAGGACCGGTACGCCCAGGCCAGGCGGCTGTAGGTGATGCCCAGCACCACACCAGGTACCAGGATGCTGGTGGTGAAGAGCACTGTCAGGTAGAGCCGGAAAGCTGCTGGTGTCCAGGTGGGGACGCAGATGCGTTTGTAGGGGCCGTCCCCCTCCCGCAGCTGGGTCAGCACCATCATGGGGGCCGTGAGCAGGAACGAGAGGAGCCAGACGATGGCACTGACCAGTTTGCGACAAGCACTGCCAGCCCGTCTGGCCCGCAGTGGCCTGGCCACTGCCCAGTACCTCTGTAGAGCCGGAAAGCTGCTGGTGTCCAGGTGGGGACGCAGATGCGTTTGTAGGGGCCGTCCCCCTCCCGCAGCTGGGTCAGCACCATCATGGGGGCCGTGAGCAGGAACGAGAGGAGCCAGACGATGGCACTGACCAGTTTGCGACAAGCACTGCCAGCCCGTCTGGCCCGCAGTGGCCTGGCCACTGCCCAGTACCTCTCCAGGCTCATCCTCTCCAGGCTCATGGCGGTCAGGAGGAAGATGCTGGCATGCATGGTGAGGAGGTCCAGGCTGAGTAAAACCCTGCACCCCACATCCCCAAAGAACCAGTCACGAGCAAAGTAGGTGCAAACCACAAAGGGGATGGTGGAGAGGTACAGGAGGTCAGCCAGGGCAAGGTTGATCACATAGACCCCCAAGGAGCCCACTGAGTAGCCTGACACCCTGCCAGAGGCCACCACCACCGTGTAGATGTTCCCTACCATCCCAGTGAGGCACATGACCAGCAGCACTGTGCCCAGCGGCCCTGTGACCGGGCTGTCCCCTCCCAGGACACTACTGTCATCACTCTCACCACTGCTTTCCTCCAAGAAACTGCCACCTTGGGGATCCTCTCCAGGCCTTGGGCTGATGAAGGAAGAGTTGTATGACATTTTTGAGTAAGGTGAGCAAGAACAAATGGAGCTCTCAGAGACCTGTTCCTTCCCCCTGCCTTCTCCCCTTGCTGTATGAGACACGTCTAACCTTAACAGCAAAGCAGCCAAGGGAAGACTGGTGAGAGTTCATCAGACATAGTGTGCTCCAGAGAAGTCTATTCCTCACCTCCAGCCGCCCAGTCCGTTATGCTGATCTTGTACATCACGAGTTCTGTCCGGTTGTTTTCCTTAACCATCAAAGGGCCAAGAAAGGGACATTGCCCTCTCCTTTAAGACCAATAGATGCAAAATAATCTCTGCCAGCCAGGAGGATGTGACTCTTCACCAGCTCCTTCGTTGCTTCTCCAGCATTTGCTGGGCCCACGGAAATCAGCAGACTTGGTGAACAAGTGGATTTCTGCTCCCAAGTCTGTGCCTTCTCAGCTCAGACAGACTCTGAAGAGGTGGGCTCTGCCCTCCTGAACCAACCCCCTGAGAGTTGCCTTGACCAGTGCATGGAGGAATGTGTCTGACTCACAGCTTCACACACAGGTGTGAACACAGTCCCAATTTAGACTGATCTTTTAACCACTAGCTGAGGAGCTCTGCCAGTCCCATCCTGGTTCTTGCAGATATGTTTTCTTCCCCTGTATCTTCCTGCACCTTTCTTCTGCTCCCTCCTTCTTGTTCTTGTTTCCCTTTCTTTTTCCCATTCCCCCTTGCACAGTTGTTCTCATTTGAGAGAGGAGGTAACTGAAAGACAAGATTCCATAATGTGGCAAGTACAGGGAAAGGCATCATGGTGTGGCTTTAGAAGGGAAACAAGAGCCAGCGCTGGAAGTGCAATCGGCAGAGCAGCCACACATTTCTCCTTGGCCCTTAGCCAAGCCTGGCTGAGACAGCCTGTCCCCCACTCCCTCCCAAGGACATCAGGGTCCTTTGAGATGTAGACAACGGATGTAGTCCCCAGTTTGCAAGCAGGCGCACCAGATGGTAGGGCATCTCACATTTTCTGTCCTGGCCCTGTTTCACCTTTGCCCTCCAGTCAGCAGCAAGTGCCTACAGACTCAAAGGGCTGGATATTTTGGCCCCAGTCTTTCCTGCCTCTCCACAAAGACCACTCTCCTTATTTAAGCTTTCTCCCTCCTCCCCTCGAGGCTCTGGGACCTGCTGCCTCACCTCAGAGCAGGGAGCAGAAGCCCATTAGGTAGGTAACATAGCCTTCTGGTGGGACATCATCGCATGACGCTGATGCCCAGTTCTATTCCTTGCCCACATCCAAGCCTTGTTGTCTCAGGGAAGACACAGTGGGGGAGAATTTGCAGAGCAAATACACATGTACCACAACAAATGTGCTCTGCTGTTAGTTCTCAGGGGTTTTCAGGCCACTTCAGCCAGACTCTTTTGCATCTTCAGTGTATTAGCTTGTTGTGGCTGAGTCAAATGCCTCTGCTCATCTCCAGCAGCGATACCTCAGCATCCCAGCAGTAGTCTCCTCACTGTGCAATGCCCTTCAGTTTTTAGGGAAGTCATGCTCCAAACTGGGAGAGATCAGCAAACTGCAAAATACACTCTCAGGTGGATATTTCCATTGCCCCACGGCAGCAGGATGAGTGATGCTGCTTCTTATCCAGGAAGCTGATGCTCCCAACAGATTGTGGTGGTTTCAGCACAGAGAGAGGTCCCCAGAGAAGCAGAAGGGAACTGTGACATTGCCCATTTGGCTCTGATGGGAATATTCACAGTCCACATGCCTCAGGAAATACAATGAATAGCAGTGGCTCTTTGCTCTGATTGTCTGTGCTTTCTCTCCAAGAAACTACCTCATACCTTAGCAGTTGGCAGGTGAGCTAGTTTAGGAAGTTAAAATAAATGACAATGGGATTTTTTTATTAATTTCTTTCTGAGCTAATTAAAATAATGGTTATCTCATTAATTCCAGTTATCTCTCCTTGACACAGGAGATATCTACTCTCACACTGCCTGTATAAAACTGCAAACACATCAGATACTACAGTCACCAGCAGAACTCAGCTGATCCTTCCAGCACATGAAACAGAGCTCTCCCAGGAGAGCTTTAAGAGATGAGCTTTAAGACATGAATCATGGGTTGATTTAGGGGTTTGGGCTAACTGTTACTAGAAGGACATGAACATAGAGACTTTCCCTGTTATACTACTGCATAAAAAAATATGTACATGTGATATACAAGATAAATAAATGGAATGTATAGATCAGAATGAAAGTGCCAGGCCTTTGACATACAGAGAATGAAGGAGCAGAGATCCATGTGTTACTGTATTCAGACATCAATCCCTAGGCTCTAGTAGAGGCAGCAGACTCTGAACTCTATACAGGCTTTATAGCTGCTCTCTGCAGGACTCAACCTCTCTCCATTGGTTTGACTAGAGGCTCAAGTTTGACATGAATATCCCTCACAGTATGTTCCCTAGGGCAGTATTTTGCCTCCCATCACTTTTTATTACACACACACACACACACACACACACACACACACACATACTATCCACATACCCACACATTATTTTTGAGACAATCTCTTAATCTTCTCTGCAGCAATCAGGGGAAGGTCTGTACACAAATGTGGTCTGAAGAAGATTTCAAGCCCATACACGACAGGACAAAACAGGCTTCACATTTGGCTGTTGAGTTACATCTTTTAAGTGACCTTTCTCAACTATAGCTCTTAACTGATCAAATATCTAGATGTTTCACATCTCTGTCACCAGCAGAGATGACATTTCTTAGGCTGTCTTAGTCCAGCAGCCCCTGCAATCCACTGGGGTGCCTGGCTCCAGCCAGGCAGCTGTTTTCTTGCATAAGGTAGGTGGTTGTCTGCAGTTTCATGCAGAAATGATGCTAGGTCCCATGTCCAACACAGTAAGTGCCAAAGTTTTCAAGGCCCAGTTGACAGGCAAGACCTGCCATCATCCAGTCAGATCACAGCAATTTAACAGGGACAGGTTGTACTGAGGATTCAGATTCACAAAGTCTTCCACTTGAAAGGAAGCAGCTTAATTGGGCCCTCAAAACAAAGTGGACATTCTTAGGGGGCAAAAGTGCTTCAAAGGGTGCTTCAAGAGCACTGTGTTTCTCTGATGTCGATCTCCTCTCCTCTCCTGACAGCCACCCAACAGGACCAGGGAGAGTCGAGTCATAGCAAGGTTCCTGCATATCTTCCTAGGATTTAAACTTGAAGTAGGCTTCGACTGTAGTGAAGGAAAAATAGGTGGTGAATTAGGGCAATACCCTGAACTGGAGTGGCAGAAGGGGAAGGAACAGCATCCAAGCACTTACTTGCATATTCCTGTGGTGTCATGGCCTGGTTGATGACACTAGTGAAGGCTGCGATCCACTCCAGCTGGTCAGTCTCTGTCTCACAGGTGAAGAGGTATTCCCGGTCGGGGGTGACAATGGTGATGCCATAGTGCCAAGAGAAGTTGCCCTGTGTCCCTGAAGGCAGTCCCTTCTGGACACTATATCCATTCTCTCTGCTGCCCACAAATACCTCACCCTTAGC